CTGCAAGTCTTATCCTTTTTTCAGTCAGTTAATATTTAACTGTAATAATATTTATTATGTTTCAGGGTCAGTAATGTACAAAGAAAAGAACCTCACTGAATGTTTATGCACAGTGTAAACAGGGGCTTTAAACATGTAGTGGAGGAGGAGGGATGAATTCACAGTTAACCTATGAATTCTTTGTTATAAATTACACAAAGCATATCGTTATAAATTAGACAAAAAAAATTTGTTATAAATTACACAAAGCATATAAAAATATTTCTATGAATACATAGAGTAAGACTTTAAAATCACCTACCAGCAACTGTGCAGTCTTATCCCACTGCCACAGGGAGGAGTCAGTTGACCATAGAGGACGTCATAAAGGAGAAGAGAGACCAGTGTTGGCCCATCTCACAATGGAGATGCCAATCCCTTGCCAATCTCTTTCTAAGCCCAGGAAATGCCCTGGAGCTACTCCTCTGCAGGCCACCTCCTAGCCAGGGGCCTCCACTGCTTCTGTGAATCTCCAATTAATCCAGATGGCTGGAAGAGTGTTAACCCAATGATTTAGACATGAGTTAATATTTTAACCCCAATGATTTAGACATGAATTAATACTGAATTTATTTAGCAGGATAGAACTAACCTTAACGGTATCAATAAAAGGAAACTTTTTTCAAAGGTAAGGGAAAAAAAGGCTAGGATTACTATATCTAGATAAACTAGCTTCTGATTGGTGGAAAGAGAAGGGAAGTTTCTTCTTTAAAGAAAGGGGGTAATAAGTAACATTTATTCTGCTGTGCAAACACTGTACAAGGGGGAGTAACTCACCATCAATCATTGCTGGAATACAATTAAGTCACTGAACAGAGCCACTCCATGTAGTTGGCCTTGAACCCACCCCAGCCTCAGCTCAACATTTAGGCAGCAGTAGGAGGCTATTATCTTAGCACAACATCCTCTTCCATTGACATTTTCTGCACCATCTCACTCAATCCTAGTGTCTCAGTGAAATTAACTCAATTAGGAAATTAAGTTTCTTTTGAAACTATAGGCACAATGGGGAAAAACTTCTTAAGACAACAGGGACGATCTTCAACAGATGGTTTCAAACTCCTGCTCTTCTGTGGGTTGAAGTATGCTCATTCTTATTTCTAAAGTTAAGCTGTTTGTTTAAACAAGAGAATGGCTTTCCTTTTACCATTAATGACACTGAAGGAAAGGAAAAGAATCTTTGAACGCCTTCTTTAGAAAAATCGTATGTCATGCTCAAGAGTTTAGTGAGGGGTTTGTTTTTTCCAGAACAAAGCCTGGCAGACACATACTTGGTGTTGTTAAGTGGATTGGTGGTGGTAGTGGGGGATCCCTAAGACCCAACTGTTTGTTTACAAAAGCAACAGATTTCAGAGTTGTGTAAAAATCCTAATAATTTCAAAATAACCTTATCTTTGACATAAAAATAAAGATGCTAACCCCTTTAGCTCAGTTTCCCACAATAACCTTTAAAACAGCAGCAGATCCTGTCTCAAAAATTGCTTTTCATTACTAGTAAAAAATGAAAGAGAATACGGGTCAGCAATGTTTGTGCTTTTCTCATATGGTGCAAATAAACGTTAGATGATAGGAATCACTTCAGAGTTAGGAAAAGACAAAAGAGGTTGCTCTTTCAGAAAGCATCCGAGTCCTCTAGCGACTACGAGGGGGAGTTAATGCAGAGATGACTGTAGACAATGGCAGACTAGAGACAGAGAAGCAGAAATGAGTGTTTGCAAAGGAAAAAGTGGGAAAGGGGAAGATCTTTTGGTTTAGAGCATATTTGCAATTAGGTAATTGTATTCTTAAATACTTTAACCTGAGTAACATTTGTAAATAAGTTCTGTGAAACCTAACAGCCAGAAGTCACACTAAAATTCCCTTGTCCAGTACCTGTGCTTTCCCCAGTTTTTTTCTTTGGTCAGTTCACATTTCAGGAGAGTTGGGAGCACGCAACACCAAGAAAAGAGCATCCCGGCCCTTCAGGGGCACTGTCAACAGGAGTGGCTAGAAACAAGCTCCGCTCTCGCTCAGCTTCTGCTCAGACAACTCTCTTACATTCTGCACATAAAATATACTGGGTAAAGAAATATCAGCTTCTCCCTCTCCAGGCCATTTCTCAGCTGTTCACAGCTTCAAGCAATAGATTTACTGTGCACCAAGAGGCTTGAAAGTTGCACTGCTCCTTGGGGGTCAGGGCCTTCCTACCATTGGCAGAACAATGTTAGCATATGCTATGCAGTGGTTTCAGGTTAGCATATGCTTCCCGGGCATCCAAGGCATTTAGACCAGTGGCTTGTCCTTGGTGCAGAGGTGACACACACTGTCACAATACTCAGTGATAAAAGTCCCTATTGTACTAGTAAGTCAGCTTTGAAGCTTTCTGGTAGCAAGACCTTTCAGTCAGTAAGGTTGCAGTATTTGTGGAGAGAAAATTATTTTCACTTATCGTTAGAACCAGTTCTAATTCTCGGAAATCTTGGAGTTGAGCAACATCTTTGTCCTTTCTTACCAGAGCACTGGATAACTTTCTGATCTTCTCCACTTGATCTGGATTGATACTAGGTTCACAGCAACTCACTCTGAGTAATTCTTGGTAGGTGAGCTCCTGTTGATCCAGTTCCATTTCAATGAAATGATTTTCTCAAAGAGATGGGTTTTGAATCCTCACGCTGAGTACAGCTCTTGCATATTAAATGGAAACACTCCGGTGAAGAAAAATGGATGGAATGCTGGCACCAGTCATGTACACAACTCATTTTGAGGCTCCAGAGACACTGGTGTCTTGGATGGGATGGAAGAGAACAGGGAGCAACTCTGACTCACTGATAGATCACAAACATGACCTAGTTTTGTGCTTTCTGGTGTTTTTAATATGGCAGAGGGGGCAGATACATCGCCATTCTGAACCAGTGTGAGGAGGTGTGGTCCCAAGGAAGGACTCCTACTAGGAGAGGTTCCCCAGGGGTGAGCAATGGAGGTAAGCCATCCCAAGGGGGTGATGCAGGAGGTGTGGAGAGGCCCTTGTTATGCAGCTGGGTTGAATCCTGTGCTATGGGGGTGTTGAAAAGAGGGAAGGTTGAGTTGGCCAAATAGTTGGGCATAAAGTGCAGTTTTGACTCCTTCTACTAGGGGAGGTTGTTGTCACCATCATCATCTTCCATTCCCATAATCTTCCTGATTTCTCTCCTCGATGTTAACTGGACTGACATTTCTCCTTTTGTGGTAAGAATCTCTTAATTAGCTCCTGAATTTAACGAGAGAACACCTGGCCACGATTTTGTTTACATACCCATTGTAAATACGTCCAGCTTTTGACCTCATTTTGGGAATTCACATTCACACTTTCACCAGTTTCCACACCTCTCAAGTGTCACTGAAGGCTGAGGCCACCCTTCATTCCCCTGCTGCTCCTGGCCTGTAGGCTCAAGTCTCCTCCAGGCCTGCAAATCTTGATTCAAGTGTTTTACAGTGGGATAGACTGCCCAAATTTGTAATGCATAATTCTACAAAAACAGTTTGTGCCTTTGCAATCCTGGGTAGTTCTATGCTGCACCATAAGTTAAAAATGATCTTAAAAAAAATGAAAATTGCCTCAAGTAGTAACTAGAGTGGTTTACCCAAGTGATTCCACAAGGAAGAGGACTGAACCCCAAAAGGCTGTCCGTAATAAGGACAGCTGAGCCTAGACATGACCCTCTCTACAGCACACATCATGAAAACTTATACTCTCTGCAGTGGGGTTTTGGGATCTGAAAAAAGAGACATCAGATGAGCCAATTAACATTTTATTAAAGTGAAACCAAACCAAAATGAAACAACATTGTTCCTCAGAACATTGACATAGTTTACATTTTTTAAGAAATAAAAACAAATATGTATTCCTACATATAAGACTCGAAGAAAAGTGCCTTACGTTTAATAAAATATAGTTTCTCAAAGTGATCCTAGAAATCAGATATGATCTTTGACACCAATTTTATTTTAAGAAAACAAGACTGTTAGATATTAAGTAACTTACATTTTGTAAGTGAAGAGAATAAATTTGACATAAAAATCTTTGAAAACCAAAAATCTACTCTTGGTAAATATTTACTTTATGCACTTCTCGCTTTAACTACGTGATAAAGATGGGCTGCCACTGGTAAAGCAATGCACTATGAAGGATTTACTATTTAGGGACAGATTCCTATGCACTGTCCTAGATAACATGGATAGGGCTTATGAGTTTTGCTTTGCTAATTCTGTTAAGCAGCTGAGGGAATGAGGAAGAAAAGAGATGTCAGAGGAGGTGCAGCAATACTATTCTTTCTATAGGAGTGATTAGATGTGTTTCCATTGCAAATACAAAAAAACAAGCATTCTCTCCTAAGGAAAACAAGATTTTAAGAAAGAATGTTCAATATTTCACTGTATGGTAAGGAAGTGTAAAGACAATTATCGGTTGAACTGCGTTCCCCCAAATTCATATGCTGTCATGCTAACTCCTAATACATCATAATGTGACCTTATATGGAGATGAGGTCTTCACAGAGGTAATTAAGTTAAAATGATGTCATTCGAATAGGTCCCATTCCACTGTGTCTACTGCCCTTGTAAAAAGGGGAAATTTAGACACACAGCCATGCATAGTGAGAAGATGATGTGAAGAGACATAGGAAGAAGATAGCCATCTACAAGCCAGAGAGAGAGACCAAGAACAGATCCTTTCCTTACAGTCCTCATAATGAACCAACTCTGATGACACCTTGATTTTGAACTTTCAGGCTTCAGAATTTGGAGACAATAAATTGCTGTTGTTTAAGTCACCCAGTCTGTGGTACTTTGTTGCGGCAGCCCTAGTAGACTAATACAAACACATTCTAAATAAAAGAAGAGGAAAAAAGGAAGAAGCAGTCAGAATGGTGCAAATAAACTCAGGTAAGGGAGATAAGCCCCAGGACAAGGGCACTACGCAGAAGTAGGTGAGGGATTAAAATTGTTTAGGAGCTTGGTGGGCACAGAGTGATGGGGCCTGGACAGTTCCAAAGATTAAAATATGGATAAACAGTCTGAGAAAAGCGACATTTAGAGAACTTGTAGATGAGTGACCCACAGTTTGTGACATTGAAAAATGATACAGTGCAAGCTTCACAGTCTAGGAAAACTCCGATACGACAGGGAGTAACAGCCATGGGAAGACTCAAGACTTTTGGACTACAGGTAAAGGAGTCTTCAAAGGCATTGTACTCAGATCCATTCTGAAACCCTATAACCCAGTAACCGTACTGAGGTCTGTATCTGGAGTAAACATTTCTTTGATTTACATTTGGGGATAAAATAAGCCAATCGAAGTATTTCCTATTGAAGTAACTTTCCTTACTGCATATCCCCAGGATCCAGGCAATCTTCCCAGACACATCTACTTCCCAGTAGTATTTCCCTGAGAAGAAACATTGGTGGCCCAGGACATCAAAATCAGAAAAATCACATGACTCTGTATTCTTAGATGCAGCAAGTTGCATAACTCTCACTTGTCTCTGATCCACAGATACAACAATATTTGAGACAGTGTAGACTGGATTCGGCATCACGTCCACTGTAGGAAAAATCAGGAGTTAGGTAAGGGATACAGAATGGGTGCGTCTTGTGACATTGTGAGGAAGAATATTGGGATTTGACTGGGAGGAACTTGTGCTGGTGGGTCAGAGATGAGTAGGACACTAAAGAACTGTTGTATGTATGCAGGTTTGGAAAAAAACACATGAAGCTAACATCCTAGGACCTAGTAGTAACCTCAACTTCTAAAAAGGGATCAGAACATGGAAATTTGAGGACCCTGTAATTTCTTCTTACCCCAGTAGCGTTGGACCTCTGTGAGCTCTGAAATGACAGAAGTTGCAATGACATTGTTAGAAGCAAAGGAGTGAACAGTGATACCTATCTTCTCTCTAGAGTGAGGACAGGGCAGGGGAGCCCTGTGAGGCTATAGTTGTGAATGAGAGGAAAAAGGAAACACCTGGTCATTCCTCCTAAAATTTGATCATATTCAGCACAGGATCTCTCTCTGTGTCTGGCCTACTTCCTCTCTTTTATCCTCTTCTAGAAACAACATCCACTCCCCCATTTTGCCCCGATACTACAAGAATCCCACACCCACATTTTTGCCCTGGATCTCCTCACCTTTAGACACTTGTAGCATCTGGCTCAGATCTGAAACTCCAAATGCACTCTTCAGTTTCTGGGAAACCATTTCTGGCCTTTTCAAGCTCCAAGTCTCACTCCTAGAGAAGACAAAAATTGATCATCCTACACTTCTGACCTTGTGTCTGTCCAAGACCGCTGTCTCCTCACCTTTCAGCCCATTGATATCCTTAAATCCTCTTCTTTGAACAACCTGAGGAGGGGAGAGAGGATATCCCTGACACTGCACCAGAAGAAATACGCTCATGTCTACTTCTCCATTTACCCTCTGCGTGATCTTTGGAAGGTCCACACCTCTCAGAAGCATAGTTTTTTCCTTTCAATGTGAAATCATTAACCTCTCCTGCTCTAACTCCTGCAAGTCATATGACATTTTATGAAATACTGGATTTAATAAAACAAAACAAAACTTTGGTACCTTCAAAAAAATTAATGTGTGGAAAAAGTCACTGCACGGATGTGGGTTCCCAGGGAGGTGATCAGAAAGTGAAGTTGCGGAAACTGTCTCCTGGGTGTTTAAGACATATCAAGTATAGGAATACTGTCTGGAGATGACCCACATCTTCAAAGTCTGCTGCCCAGTATCTAGGCCCTCCGAATAATGTCTGAGATTCCATGTTCTCTGAGAACCATTATAAACACTTGGAAAAGAAGATGTTACCAACAACAAACTAATAGTAGTCTGAATTTCACTTGTTAGGAAAGAGCTTGATGCTGCCACGTAGGTGTGTAAATTTAGACACAAATATGACACCTTTCCAATCTGGCTTCTAAAGTATGTAATCAAGATGGATCACTTTTTTGCATCCGGACAAAATACTTGAGATTCAAGTTTGTTTTTGCAAATCTAAACAGAACCACAGAGAAAGACCTGGTCTCCTCTAACCCAGGGCAGAAATTTAAATATAAAGGAGTTTTCTCCAAATCTGTGTGCTTGGCAGATAAAGAAGATAGGACCTTCCCACAGTAAGTCAGGCACCTATAAAATAGGGAAAACTGACTTCAATTCAGGCACGCCAGTTGAAAAACGTTTATAAAATCACAGGGTTCTGATGATACAGTGTCTTATCCCTAATACTGGTCCTGAAACGAAGCTTTATAACTTCCCACCATCTAAGTGTCCTACCATAGAACCCTGGTCTATTCTCAATAGTTATAGAACACTCAAGCAATGATTTGTGAACAGAAATTTATGGTACAACTATACCTCAATTGTCTTGCCCTGAGCGACGTTTCATTCTAATTGAGCACTAGATAAAGCAAATGGCTGTAAAACTCTTTTCATAGCACAGAAGGACCATCTCTGGTATCCCTCACATACCTTTTCATGATGTCATTTACATCCTAAGGAGAAAGAGAAAACATGAGTCAAGAAGTGATATGCCCTCTCCACTTGCACAGCTTCATCATATCCCCACCACCCCATGATGTGGTGGGCATAGACATGATCCCAAAGTGAGATTAAAAAAGTAAAGAACCAAGCCAATTATTCCAGAAGATGTTGTAATGTTTCCTAAAAGATAGAAATAAGGTTGACCCTTGTGAAAGTATAGCATGAGGCTTCCAGTGTCTGGAGATGAGATATATCTATGAGGAAAACAAGAGGTCCATAATTTTTTCCCCAAGTGCATAAAGCTCCCCAAGTGATAATTTGAATAATTCATCATTCTTTCATTTATTCAATGGAAATGTAAAGTGATATACTATTATTTTCCAAGTACTATGCCAGGCTTTGGAGAATCAAAAATTTGTAAATAATCATAATGTTCCTCAAGAAAGTTACAGGGCTTTTGCTGAGGGTACAAGCAAACAAATTATTAATGTAGGATAAATCTCAAGTCTTTTCTTCTTTTATGCACTAACTATGTGACCTCATCTACTCCCTTAAATTCTATACATGTTCGTGATGTTGATTTCCAACTCTGTATTTCTTCTGTTTTGCTTCCTAAATGCAGGTGAATATATTCAGTAGTAAAGAAGCCACAAGAATCAGCAACTTAGCATGTCTAATATATAAATTACAATCCACCAACCAAATTGTCTCCTCTCTTATGTCCCATTGTCCATAATGTTACCAATATCCACTTGGTCAATGTCCAAAACACTACAATATTTACTCTCCTCTTCAGTCTCTACCAAACCACTTTAGTCGACATTCTTCACAGTTTTTAGCCATCTGATCCCCTTTGTCATCAGAGATATTGTTTTATTTGCTTGAACAGATATGTATCAATACATTTATTCTGTTTTGTGTCAGACTTACTTCCTCCGTGTCACCAAATCTAGGCCAACAGCTATGTCTACACATGCCAAAAAAATGGTTTGGTGCTCTGTATTAGGGCTTTCTTTTGTATATGACAAAAAAACAAATAAAACTAGATTAAGCAGAGAAAAGGACAAATGGGGCAGTTATAGCTTTAGTCAAAGTTGACTCAAAGTTAAATTTGAGTCAAACCTCAAACCTGCTCATCAAGATCTGGTCTTGTCCTTCTCCAAATTTGATCTGTTCCCTCTGTATTGATTCTATTCTTCGTTCATGAAGAGAACATCAATCTCCTCATATAAACTCCAGAAGAAAGAGAACAACTCTTCCCAGTTATCACAAAAAATTCTGAGGCCTTCGTGACATTGGCCTATATTGGGCCGGGTGCCCATATTGAAAGCTTCACATATTACTGATGGAAGGAAATGAAGTAGTGTTGGAGGCATATTTCTACATTTCGCTGAAACTAAGTCAGTATTATTCTGAAGTAGACTGTGATAGGATAAAGTTCATTTTGTAATCACTCTAGAAACCACTAGGAAGAAAACTGAAAAAAAAATACTGTTGGAAAATAGGAAAAATTAAAATTTTATGAAAGGAATAGTTATTTAATACAAACGAAGCTTCTTAAGGAGAAAGAGGAAAATAAAAATGACAGAAGACAGAAAGCAAACAGTAAAATGGTAAATTTAAATATAGTTATATCAATAATTGCATTAAATGTCATTGACTTAATACTCTAATTAAAAGCCAGAGACTGTGGAACTGGATAAAAAGCAAAATTAAATGATTGATATCTATAACAGCATATTTTGGATTAAAATACACAAGTAGGGTGAATTTAAAAATGTAGAAAAATATATACCATACAAGCAGAAATCATAAGATTGGTCAAGTGTTTATATTAGTATTAGACAAAAAAAAGACTTTAATTCAATAAATATTATGAGAGAGTGAGAGGGAAATTTCATAATGATAAAAGGTTCAGTACGTCAAGAAGATATAACAATTATAAATGTATACGCATGCAACAACAGAGCTTCAAAATACACAAAGCAGTCTTAAAAGGAAAAATAGACATTTCAGTAACAATAGTTGGAGAGTCCAATAACCCACTCTGAATAAATGAGTGCACAGCTTGAAGAAAAACTATCAAGGTATGGAAGATCTGGACAATACTGTGAACCAACTTAACCTAACTGACATCTACAGATCATTTCACCCAATGAATGCAGAACATACATTCTTTGCAAATTCATATAGAAAAATTTTGTAGACCTACAGAATTTTAAGCTATGAAACAAGTGTCAATGACATTAAAAGATTTAAATAATAAAATATATGTTCTGTGATAAGAGGAATTATATTTGAAATCCATAGCAGAAGAAAAAGTAAGAAATCACTAAATATTTTTTAATTAAACAACACAATTTCAAATATCCCAAGGGTTAACAAAAAAATCACAAAAGAAATTTGAAAACAACTTGAACTGAGTGAAAATAAAACCCAAAAATCAAAATTTATGGAATACAGCTAAAGCAGTGCACTTATGTCATTAGATACTATATCAGAAAAGATGGGCTCAAATCAGTGATCTAAGTTTCTACTTTTTAAAAAATTAGAAAAGGCAAAGCAAATTAGACCCAACACACATACACATGTGCCACCTGCATAGGTAAACACATACATACACAAAGAAAACATTAAAGGTGAGAGCACAGAGATAAATGTCATAGAAAGGTTAAAAAATGGATAAAATCAATGAAGTGATAAGATTTCTTCTTGAAAAAAATCAACAAAATTGACAAAACATAATAAAACTGACCAAAAAAAGGCAGAAAAATAAAAAGAAAAGAAATAACGCAAATCACCTAGATCATGAATAAAAGAAATGACATTACTGTAACTGTTGTAGAAATTAAAGGGTTTATAAGGGGTTCTTATGATTAACTTTTCATCTACAAATCAGACAACTTAGACAAAATGAGCAAATTCAGACAATCACATACATTACCACAATACTGAGTCAGGAACTATAAAAAAAATCTAAATATCCCTAATTCAAGTAAAAAAAAAATATTTTAAACCCTTCCAAAAGGAAAAGCCCAGAGTGAGATGGCTTCACTGGAAAATTCTATTAAATATTTGAAGAATAAATAATACCAGTCCCTCACAAATTTTTTTCAATAAGTAGAGAAAGTGGGCGAAAAATCTCAAATCCTTCTGTGAGGGGGGAAAAATAAATCCCCTTGGAATCCAAAGTGCATGTGTTTATCTGTGATAAGCTGGACCATGAAGGGGACCTAATAAATGCTTAACACTAGATCGCAGAAAACAGGGGCCTATGTAATATCACTGGACACAATGGATCATCTTTCCAAGGTCAAATTTTTGCAGTGCCCTTGATAAATTGATAAAAATGAAGTTTTCCCTTGTTATTCATGTATTCAGTTATTCCTATAACCCTGATAGATGCAAGAAAGGGTTACTGCAGGGCCAAAGGAAACCTAGTCTCACCATCAGAAAGAACACAGCAATAAAGGGTAGAGGTAAACTAGTCTTCATATTTCTCAAATCTCAGAGACTGGGCTTCATCCTAAGTCTTACCTGCAGCATCTCCATTGTTGACCCCTGTAACCGATGCTCCACATCTGAGATAAGATCTCTCACCAACTGGCTCTACTGGACCAGCTCACTCTCAGCCTCAGCCAAGTTATGAAGAATATCTCCTGCCTCATTCTTCAGCTTTAGCAGCTCCCTCTGCTCCTCACTGTCCAAGATACCTCTCATTTGTTTCAACTGCCTGGACACGTAGGTCTCATTTTGTAATAGATTCTTCCAGAATGAGAAAGAGAGAGAGGAACTCAGGCTCCCAGGCAGGGACTGGAAGCCAAAAAGAACCATTCTATTCGGGAAGTTCTCACAGGGAAGTCAGATAGAAGCAAGGGAGAAACTCTTGGGTAAGCTGACTTTTCCTATTATTTTCTCTTCATCACATTTCAAAATAATACCCTCAAATCTGCATTATTGAGACCAACTCTGAGCCATTTGATACCTGGGTGTGGCTCAGCTTTGACACAACTTTCCAGGACAATGAAGCCTTCCGGTATTTCTCTTGCCCCGTACCCTCTGCAAAAAGTTGTACGCTGAGGATAGAACCATGAGCCCTTGCCAAATGTCTTCCCTGTGAAGAGTCAAAGACAAAAAATGTGACAGGAGTGGAATACAAAATTCACTAGCTGTCCTCATCAGAGATTCTGCCTAAGTGAATACTTGTCTCCAAATATCTTTGTTCATTTGTGACATGTTCACATTTCAATCCCCCCCCCGCCATCAGGGAAAGGATAAGGAAGAGGACTAATCAAACACTTTTTGACATATCAGCTGTCAGGGATCAAAGAAGAAAGGGGCTCCTCGTGACTAACAAACAAGGTTCTGCACAAATTTCAGTCTAACTTCCTCAGGAAGTGTCTCCTCCTACCTTCCAGGAAGTACTTTCCTCTCTAACGTCAGTCTCCATCTTCTCAGCTTCATGCTGCTCCAAACTCAGCCTCTCCAGAGCTGCCTGGAGCTTCTCCTGTAAGGAAGGTATCAAACCAGAGTCAAGCACTGGGCTTTCTCAGCATTGGAATGGACAATAAATGCGGAAGAATTCAGGCTGATATCCTGAGACACTAGAGTTTACACAAACTGTGAGAACTGCAATTAGTATCTATGACTTAGAAGAAAAGTTGAGGTGGTGAATGTGTTCTTTAGTACTCAGAGGTAGAAGTCAGCATCCTCTCCCCAAGAGAAGAGTGATTCTCCTTTTCCTAGAAAAAGAAATCAGACCCTGAGGGAAGGAAAGAACTTATATCTCAACCCACCCAGCTTCCAGTTAACTCTCCTGTTCAAAGAGGTAATGAGAGCTTTTCTTGGGCACCAAATCTCTACCTACTAGCACAAGGTACAAAAATATGTACTTCTGGCTAAGAGTCTGTACTGTAGGCTTATCCTTATGTAATTGGATGAAATGCACAGAATTGGCCTGCAGGCCTTAGACAATGAGCATAAGAAGAAAAAAATGACAGGCCTCTGGGCTATGGTGACAAGGTAATTAAAGTCAAACGCATATTGGAGATTTCCCAACAAGTATCCTTTTCTGCTCTGTCTTTCCTCTATCCTGGTCTCTTACCTGATATTGGTGTGCAATATTCTCTATAAGGAATGTGTGGTGACCATGGTGCTCCTGAGAATGCTCACACAGGCAGCAAATGACCTTCCCATCTTCCTTACAAGAGAGCAGGAGTTTCTCTTTATGGTGCACACAGAGATCTCTCTTCTGCTCCTCCTCTGGGCTCAACTTGACCTCCCTGAGTCTCTCCACTATGTTGGCCATATGCCAATTGTGTCGCATGTTCCCAGGCCAGTAAGTGATTTGGCACACAGGGCAGCTACTGCCTCCTTCTTGGCCAATCATGGACTCTTGGTGGTTTGCGGTGATGCAGGCTTGGCAGAAGCTGTGGCCACAGGGTAGGCTCAGGGGTTCTGTCAGGGGCTCCAGGCAGATGGGGCAGATCACCTCCTCCTTTATGTTCACCAGGATTCCTGACGCCATCTCTACTGCTACCCCGTCTTACGTGTCCTGAGGCTCCTCTTGCTCACAGATCCTGCATGATTGGGAAAGTAAAAGGGGACAGAATAAAAAGGTAAGAATAAAATGAAATTAAATGTTTAGAAATCAAGGAAGAGCCAAGACCAAAATATTGAAGGACATGAAACAAGGAAAGAGGCTTGGTGGCTCGGTAAAAAAGAATTTTCCTAATAATTTTAAATATTTTAGTCCCAGTTCATGTCACACGACAAATCCCATCATGATCTGTACCATGATTGATATTTTCCTTTATTTTAACCGAATGAAAGGATGACCTGAGGACTTTTCTACCAAGATCTCTGTGTGACCCATCTATGCTGCTTGTTCTTTCCCATGCCAAAAACACATACTCAAGGTTAAAAGCACCAAACCACTTAAGCCTCTAGAGTTTTACAACTGCTCTTCTCTCAGTTGCCCTGATATCAGTATGACTCACTCTTATATATCTGTGAATTTTCTCCTTACATGTTCTCTTATCAGAAAGACCTGCTTTGACTAACTTATTTAGAGCGTAAGCTTTGCTATCACTTGCTCTACATTTGCAATGATTTCTCTTATTATCATGCCATAATATATGACAAGGTGTGTGCATATATGGAAAGAGCAAACCCTTTATCAGAAGTACAAATAAAGATAAGAAGTGACTTACAAAGATCGTTTATCTTCAATACACAGAGGTGAGACAAACCTAATGTATTTGGGGTCCCTCAGAGGTCTGGCTCCTCTTATCCCCTAGAGTCATTCAAAGAGGAACAGAGGATATTTCATAGGCAGAATTCATGCTTAGAGCAATGGGGGGTGTGGAAATGAAGAGATCAAGATTAGGTTGGAATTTCCAGAGACTATTGTGTTTGTAAATGGTGAGATTTTACCTCAGCCTGAAATATTCCATGGACATTGATAAGACCTTAAATGTGTGTATGTATGTGGATGGTAGAGAGAGAGATATGATACTCATAGGAAATACTCATAGGATCACACACCTCAGATACCGGGGAGAAGATCACACACCTCAGATACCCGGGAGAAGAGAAGCAAAGATGGAATGAATGTTAGTCTTGAGAAAGAAGTCTCAAAATACTAGGCAAGATGATTCAACAAACTATCACTGATGATGAATTATGCTAACAAATGGAATACTATCCAAAAACACAATGATATGTATAAACAGAAAACCTACACCACTATGAACTTGAAGTTGACCTGGAGAGTAATAGTAAATTAAATATTCAGACCTACGTGTAGAAAAGAGCAAATGTGAAGAACATTACTAGAGAGACATACAGGTTTTTGGGAAATCAAATAATGGGGGCAAATGAATGGATATCCAAGAATTCCAAATTGAAAACATAAAAGTTGAACTGCAAGCTGAAGAAGATGAAGGAAATATGGGATGAGAGAGAGGAAAAAATATGTTAGGTTGAAGAAATGACCTGTTCATAGAAGACCCCTCATCTTGCATGAGTTTTAAAATGCCAGTTTGCCTGATGTGCAGAAAACTGCTGGACCTTTGGTATCACATGAGCCTGCAGTGATCATAAAAGATGACTATTCCAAACTTATGTAATATTTAGGGACCTTTTTGCAAGAAGAAGGAGAAATTATCAAAGTTTTCCTATCAGAGAAGAGTGGGGACATATTTAGCTCTGCACATGAGCTGTGAAATGTTGGATGGATCCAGAATGAAATTGGGAAGATCAGTTACGAAGCATGCACAGTTGCTCAGGGGAGAGATGATGACAGCTTGAGGGACAAGATGATGAAGGAAATGGAGAAGAGCAGATGAGAGTGAGAGACAAGATGAGGTAGAAGGATGGGACTGGGAGTGGGACTGGATAAATTGTAACATAGACTTAACCTCAGGGCTGAGCTTCTTTCTGTAATATGATATTGGCTTTCTCTTCTCTCGGTAATTATTGTTCCCCCTGGAAAACCTCCTGGGTTACGATAAAATGGATGTTCAGCTGCCATGATTGTAAAAATGGCCTAAGGTCTAAAGTGCATTTGGACTGAGACGTCTTTGTATAGACCTTAAATGCCAGTTAGTAAGAACAGACCTCATTTTTCAAAGGGAGAATGTGATTCTTATAATCAAGATGTGTCTTATTTAGCCCCTGCAAGCTGTGTTTATGAGTTTTCACAAGGTAATCAATTCTTTGTATCACTAGGCTTATCTCACTTGTGGTAGTTTTACACACATTCTCCTCTTCTGGCTTCTTACAAAGCTGGGATTACAAGGATAAAGTATTTCCTGTACCACTGTAAGGTCCATCACTGAAAACTCACCTAAGGTAGCCATGAGATATGGTGTGCCTCTTGTCCTGTGTCCTCCAGCTAAGCTAAGTGAACCTGGAAGTTTATGTCATTTTGGACACATGGATGGAAATGGCCATCCAGATTGCAAACTGCTGCTGGCAGTCAGTCATGGAGAGTATTATAGAATGGTGGCACAGTGATGCTTATTCTCCGACCTGCACTCAATATGGCCATGTGGCCACAGTCTAGGATGAGAAGTTCTGTCAGGAGCTCCAGGCAAATGGGCTTATGAGGCAATAAACAATGAAAGGGAAGATCTCAATAGATATTAATGTCCTGATAGTCGCCAAAGTTTGACGGTAAATGGAAGATCTCCAGCATGAGACAACCAGTAAGTTTTACCTTTGCTCTGCACAAGCGAGGGAAAAGTTATAAAGACTGCATGGAGATAAATTTAGACCTACTGAAAGTGTCTCCTTGTGCCATGTTCATCATACATGAAGGGAACCTGATAAAGAATGAAGCTGAAGGTGAACCAAAAGTGTAATTCCCCTAATGGTACACATATAGAAAATAGTCCAAGGCCATATGCATTTACTCCTGGTCGTAAAGACTAAAGCCCAGGTCAGGGTCTAATGAATAGCAAGATCAGAAGTAAATATTATATCAGGGGTAAATATTACATGATAATGTTTACCCCTGTTTATGACTCAAGCTGTGACCCAAACATGGGAGTGAGGCCTCCAATTATTTCTCATCCCATTCAACATTCAACCAATGATGAGATGTATCAAGAACCTATAGAGGAGAGAGAAGCAGATCACGTTTTCTACCATAGGGATATAGAAGTTATTTCCACAGAGGGGTTACAAGGAGATAATGTCAAAGCAGCTTCTGCCACAATGGACAATGAAGGGCAATGTACAGAGGAGCTAGAGTCCTCTCACGTGGAGGATGAACCCTCCTCTACCTAAGCAGTGACCCAAGGGCTCCACAGCAATGAGGGAGCTAGCTATGAGAACATGAGTTGTGTGCCCTGCTACAACTTCCATGTTAGTCAGCTGCCATGGGTGTCAGACAATTTACACCTTACTCATTGGTCTTCTGACGTGAGTTCAGGAGAATACAAAATCAACATGTCTCAGAGATGACAGCCAAAGACAGGCAAGAAAACCATTGAAAGACAATAACTGTGTCAAAGTCCAAATAATAAGGCTGCGGACAGAATTTTCTTGTTTTTCACTGGAGTAAAAATATTTCTTTAAACATGAGAAGTCACAGACTACTGATGTTAAATGGAGAGAGTCACCTTTCCTAAATAAAATGGAACAAAGAAATTGTGCTACATTTTATTTGCCAGGTAGTCATCTTACACTATTTAATATAAACTTATTATAATACTAGCAAATTAAAAAGTGAAGCAGAAATGTAACAAATCAATTCTAAATCCCTGTGATAACTGGCATGACAGAGTTGTACTATATGAGCTCAGAGGACAGGTGCCTAACACTGACTTACAACTGAGAGGGGGACAATACTATGTAGCACAGGTGATAATCTTCAAAGTCAACTTTGATAAACGAAGATTGGGTCACAGGAGAGGAAGTCAGAGTGAGAAAAGAGATTTGACTGGTGTCTTCCATATGCCTGAGTCAGGCGGGTGCAGCTGTACCTTCTATAGGAAGGGGGACTAAACACAGAGATTCCCCTACTCTAACTTCCTTCTCTCATGAGTCTCAGGATCTTGTAATTGTACTGCTTCTTCTGACATGTTTTTATATCATTAACCTCAGTCAAGTAACTCATTTTATTTATTAAAGTTAGAAAAGATACCACTTCTGGAAATTCTTCCTACATGCTCCTCTTGCTCCTGATTTCTGAGCTGAGCTCTATTTCTGGGTGGCAGCTGTGGCTCAAGGAAAAGGATGAACAAGGTTAGTAATTTTTTAAGAACCTGCAGCAATTCCTTGTGTCTGGACAAGTGAGTAGATAAAGGCTACCGAGCTTGCCACCTGTCACTCCATTAGGGCTCTTAAGCACAGACAGGCTAAGAGATGAAAACTTATTTACAGAATCATTCAGAAATACTAGATTGTTACATTCATAGGCGTTAAGCTATTAGGATTCAGTGATTCCTCTGCCTTTGTTCCTGTTGCTGGGGAAAAGGACTTTGTACCCTTGAAAATTCGAGGAGACTGGAAATCCTCAACCAGGTACAATGCAAAATTATAGAATGAGTAGGAGATATGGGTAAATTCAGCTTGGAGAAAGAATGGTCCCTGCAGGAACAAAACAAAGCCTTTGACTTCTTCAAATCTCCCTTCTTTTAAGACCACGCTCCCCCAGACTATACTTCAGTCAGCGCTCTCAGCAGGGTGCCTTCATGCTAGGCCTTTTTCCTCCTTGAGAACAGCTTCCTGAAGTAAAATTTAACTCACTCAAGAGATTTCATTTTTTCCTCTGAAGTCTCCCAATCTCTGCCGTCTACAAACTACTCAACCCACCTTCAGACACCAATGGAGAAGTTGTAATTCCTTGAAGAAGAGAAAGGCAGGCCAGGGGCAGAGGCAGCCAGGATTCACTCACCAAACCAGGAGCCTGATGGCCACAAAGAGATCCGGAGGAGCCAAGTGAAAATGAAAGTTGAATTCTTGGAAGACGGCAGAAAGGGAGAGGAGAAACTGTGGACCAATTAGAGTCCTCCAGGT